TTCTAGTGGACGAAAGAGTGTGAGGCGAGCTTCCAGAAGCTATATTAACATGCTTGTTCAACTCTTCAAATTTTCCTAGCCCGTGGGTTTTTTTTTTTTTTTTTTTTGTTGGTATGCTTATTTTGTGGGTTTATTCTTTTCTTACAGGAGAGGAATTATTACTTCATGAATAGGAGCCATATTCGAGCATTTGGTAGCTGGGACTGTAACGATGATTTCCCAATTCCTTTCACGGAATGCTTTGAATCAGCTGATTTGTTTCGTTACAGCTACTCTAAAGACCCTGATCTCTACCAGAACGACATTGTCACTCCAGCCATGATCGTCCTTCCTCCTCCTAAGGTAATTACTACTCTCTTTTATAAGACACTTTTTGTTTTAAACTGTCTATGATATAGAATCTTTAAGTTTTTTTAAAATAAAACTTACATATTTGGAACTACGTACATAATAAATAATTAATTTAAAATATTTAAAAGTAACATAACTTGGGGGACGGATGGAGTATTTCTGTTAGCCTCTACTGTCCATTTAAGACTTGAGTAAGAATTATTAAGGAGGGAACGCCTTTTGGTCTGTAGGTTAAACAGAGAGTTGAATACGAGGCAGAACATGTGAAAGCATTAAATGAATTTTGTTTTAGCTACTTTACACGCTTGCCTTGTGCAACATTCCATTAATTAGGCATGCACTACCTTTTTGTCCTAAATATTTATTCAGTTAGATAGAAGCATTTAGTAAGCAAGCTCAGCTAATTATGGGTTCATGTTATTATTAGGAAAGTAAAATGAGAATAAAATATGATGGTGTTTCTACAGAGAAAAGCAAAGCAAGATTTTTACAAGATTTCCCCTCAACTGCTCTACGCCTCTACCCTATGCCTAAAAGGGTACGCCATTCTTCTCCTAATCTTTATTACTCACTTTTTTATTTTATCCTTCATTTTTAATCACTTTTTCTCCATCCTCATCCCATAATTAGAGGGACATGTCTGTCTAATGTAGTTCACCTGCAAATTAGTAAAAATGATCGCCTTACTTTTATTAAGTAATGTATAGCTAGCTAGTATACGAAATATAATTCTTGTTGTACACTAATTTTTATAAAGAAAAAACAAAAGTTCAATCTACCCTGCGTTATCTAACACTAAATAACTATCACACTGTATTACATTATCTAGTACTCCTATATATGATACCTTTTAAATTTTCTTGTGCTAAACTTTAATTTTTCTTTTTTTCTTTTTGTACAACTCTTTGCAGAAAGGCGTTAGGGGATTCTTTTCGATGTGCCTGCGGCCAACTTGTGCTTCATGATCCCGAAAGAGCTTAAAGCTGTTTGCAAACAAAGAAAGATTCAGAACATATATATAGGACTAGCTACTCTGTTCATATTTTGAATCCTAGTTTCATTGTCTATATTCTAAAAGAACTTAGTATAGAGATGTTTGAAGTATTTCTTGGTTTTTTTAAAGCAGTAGTACAAAGTGGCCAAAAAACAGATAGTAGAATGTTGGCCAGCCCAAGAAGATAAATACCCATCATTATCTTATGATGATCACTGCGAAGCCTTCTCTAGTCTCTACTCTATTGCTAGTATATATGTTTCTTTTTGCAAGTATTTGGATGTCCTACTCTTATTACCTAGTGTTTTGGCTTCTCTAACTTAAAAAAATATATATAATGGAGGACTTTGGTGTTAAAAGGTTAAAATTACTTTACGAGAAAAATAATAATTAAGGCTTCCTAGGCTCGTGTCTACGTTATGTTGCCCTCTACTTTTTCCTTCTTTATTCTTCTGTGCTTTTGTCTTCTGACAGTGACCTTAATTGACAAAACTCGAAGTGGCAACCAGCTAACTGTGCTTAGGAAGTAGCCGACATACCTTTTAAATTCTTACTAATAAAATAAAATGTCACCCACTAATTATAAGGTTACCTCCGTCAACATCGATGCAATCACGCGATGTATACTCTTGTAATTTCCACTATTTAAGTGTGGATAATTTTTTGGGTTTGTTGATATGTGGTTCTAAATGGGATAAGCTAGGCGAACTTATGGGGTAAAAATTTATTTGTATCGAGTTTTTACACTAGATACAAGAGATATATGATTTGTGTTTATACATAGAATTTATTTTGCTTAATCATGATTAATTAATATGTATTCTTACCTCAATAGTTCACTTGATCATAATAAATTTATATGATTTGATGTAAACATTTGGTACAAACAAGATTTTATTTTAACTTCTGTTGAGGTATGGTTAACAAAAATCTTCGTCAAGAAAGAACAAAGGAAAGAAAAAGAAGTCTAAACCTTCTCGCCTTTTGCTAAAGATAGTGTCTTTTTTATGGTGCTTCTTTCACTACACGAAGAGTAGAGGAGCTTGCAAGAAAAAGACATCAACCGCTTTGAACAAATAGAAATGCTCAAATTGTAAGAAGTGATTTTTTGAGAAGAAAAGTACAATAGTCTCAACAATGTTGTGAAAATGGTCAAAACGAAATAAGGCAATGCTTTCTAGACACCAGCACTTGACCGCTTTGTTATCCCTATAAAATTTGGATTTTGGTCTATATGGGTTATGTATAATTTGAAATTGGGATACTTTTACTAGTGATAACTCTGATTTCTTAAAAGCTTCCATTCTAATAACTTCAAATGGTATTTATTTTTATCTTATTTGGATGTCACCTTTTGTATAGACTACGTTTGCTTTTACCGCACTAATGATTTTATAAACTAAGACAAAAAGTTGGATTTGAAGTCTCTACAGAAAGCATGTGGGATGACCAAAAGCAAAAAGAGAAAAATTAACAGGAGTAAGAACTAAATTATTCAGTTGAGTAGTCGAAATAGGTCTAAACACAGTAAAGATTGAGGTTTTCAGGAAGAGAGAACTATATAAATAGCCATAATATTACTTACCAACAATTAGTCATTAAGTTATCCTACAAAAAAAGCTAGAAAAAATTTTCAATGATATATAACATTCAAAAAAAACTAGACAAAAAAAGATATTTTTTAATCGGTATAGATGAAATTCGTTGAATTCACATAGATGAGATAATATACAAAATTTAATGAAGATTGGAAGTAATTTAAACTGGTTTGGAGTTAAAATTCACTATCAAAGATATACATCATTAAAAAAAGGCAAATAAAGTTTTTTTTAATGTGCATGGTTGGAATTCGTTCAAAATACATAAATGAGGTACTATATAAAATTTGAGGAAGATTGAAGGTAATTTGGACTTATTTGGAGTCAAAATTTATAGTTAAAATTGAGTTTATAATTTTCTCTTGTGACACATGTATCTAACACAAAATCTATACATGAATATACAGGGGATAAACAAGAAATACACATTTGATACATATAGGATACACAAATGATATACGGGATACATATTTTATCTTTTTTCATGTTCATCTTCGACTTCAAATTAAGTATTAATTCAAATCACCTCAAATCTCCACCAAATCGTCCCATAATTTAGATTCAAACTTCTTGAGAAGTATTCAATCTATTCCAATGCCCACTCGAAATAAAATTCAATTTTGAAAACTCAAATTTTAAAATTCAAGTTTAAGCGATGGCTTTATATGGTGTTTTAGCTCATCTTGTTCACTTCCCAAGTAACCAAACAATCAAATAAAAATAAACAAAGTCCAAGGAGATATATATACTTCGTACATGTATACGATTTATGCATTTGTACTATAATCAATATGGATCACTATAATTCACATAATTATACTTTTTAAGTACCTTCTAAACATAGAAATGTTTAAGATTTTTGTTGTTGGGTATGCAAAATGCACACACCAAGAAAACAAAAATACTAATATGACAAAAAANTATATATATATATATATATTGGCGTTGTAAGTTATATTTGTTTTACTAGTGCATATTTCATGAATTCTACAACTCTAAATTTTTAAACAATTTTATTTGATTATTCGGGTAGAATTCTACAAAGTGGGAGAAAGAGGGGAGAGGGGGAAGTAGACTAGAGATGGAGAAACATCTAAATAATCAATTGGTCTAATTTTGGTAGCATTTGGTGAATATTAATAGTATTTTATGAATTGGCTAATTTTGATATAATTTTTGCTCTGAAAGGCCACACTGTATAGTTTCCCTCTCTGGAATTACTGTGCACCCTCCATCTTTGTTGGGCCAAGGGCCTCTCCAGCCGATGGAGAAGGGAACAAGCCCATTAAAACTGAGTTAAATTTGTAGACATGGTGTGGGATAGCCACTTTTTAACATCGTATTTAGTTTTTATCCAGTATTTTTAAGGTTGCACAAAAATAGCCACTATTCTATTAAAATTAATATGAAAAGATGTTTTTACCCTTTCTTCATGAGTGTTGTGTAAATACTAAGAACATGGTGTCTTTAACATTTATACTGCACACATGAAGTTAAGGACGCCATGTCCTTAACATTTACACTGTACATATGAAGTTAAGGACATGGTGTCCTAAAGTTTAACAACGGAAGGTGCAAATACAGGACACTTTGTCCTTAATACTTACATCGCATTCATGAAGTTAAGGACACCATGTCCTTAATATTTACACAACACTCATAAAGTTAAGGACATTATGTCATTAATATTTACACTGCACACATGAAGTTAAGGACACCATGTCCTTAACATTTACACTGCACATATAAAGTTCAGGACATGAGGTCATAATGTTTAACAACATAAGGTACAAATACAAGTTAAGGACATTATGTCCTTAACATTTACACTGCACACATGAAGTTAAGTACGCCATGTCCTTAACATTTACACTGCACATATGAAGTTAAGGACATGATGTCCTAAAGTTTAACAACGGAAAGTGCAAATACAGGACACTTTGTCCTTAATATTTACATAACATTCATGAAGTTAAGGACACCATGTCCTTAATATTTACACAGCACCCATGTCTAGCACAGGGGTATGTTCGTCCGGGCGGGTAAAAAATTATTAAGCACTGACTAAAAAATAAATACATTTTAAACAGTGGCTAAAGAGTAAAGACATCTCTAACTAGTGGTTAACTGTGCACTTCCCCCGTTAAATTTTGGGTAAAATACAAAATTGGCCGATCAAAACTAATTGCAATTGCTATATATATCCGCTTTTATTTTGTTGGGAGTGGCTAAAAATATATATATTTCTATTAAAATTTTTGGGGCAAAAGTCCTTTCGTTGAACCCACTAGAGAGATAAGGCAAGGGGACCAATCTCCTCCAGCCTATGGAAAGGTTATCCAGAAAGATTAACTCTCAAGTAGTCTCCAAAAGCTAGTTCCCTATCAGTATCAGCAGATCAAGCCCTAATCTCTCTCACCTCTTTTTTGCTGATGACTTAACTCTGTTTGCTAGGGTCAAATGCTAGGAAATTTAATACTATCCTCCAAACCTTGAATACTTTCAATGATGCATCAGGCCAGCAAATCTACTTTGGTAGATTAAAAGTTACTATCTTTTTTGCAAATTTTAAGAGAGATGTAGTCTTACTCTGAATGTTTGTCAGTTCAGCCTAGCAATTCTTTTGGGAAATAGCTGAGTTTTTCTATCTTCCATAAAAGAGCCACAAACAAGTTCATCATTGATAACATGAATACTAAGGTAGCAGGTTAGAAAACTAAGTTCCTTGACATGTCTGACAATGTTCTACTTGCCAAAGCCTCTTTGAGCAGCATTCCTAGAAATGTGATGAGAACACTAGAGTCAGTTTTCTCTTCTCTAATGGAGTCTACACTCTGCATCAAGAGGTCTTAGATATGGTGCAAAGCAACTTCATTCCAATACCATCCCCCAATCAAGAGAAACATGCTGCTGACTATTTGCCTCCTACAATCAAAAGAGCTTCAACTAGATTTGGAAACTAAAAGTATCAAAACTTTCTTATGGCTCCTTCACCATGGAAGGCTTTCTACTGGCCAATACCTAAATGGTATAGGCCAACACCTTTAGGAAGCAGAATAGAGTGGCACATGCATTGGCAAAGAAGGGTGCAAGGAAAAAACTTTTTGAAAACCCAATTATTTTAGAAGTTCCTCCAATGTTTGCTTCTGCACATGTTTGGGCAGACATTTTAGGAACGTCTTTTGAAAGAAAAATGAACTCTTATAATAGATAAAAATAGCTTAACATTCGGGAGCAACAATGCTTGAACTGCTAGCAATACAAGCATCAATGAAGATGTACGTAATGCTCATTCAAGTGGCGTCTTGACCGACCCACATCATCTCAGCTTCATTATCAACTTCTGCTGACAAAAATTCATGGCCAACCCAGATTATGAACTATCAAGCTGATTCTGCAGGACGAATGTCAAATGAAAAGTGAAAAAAGATAGTTTAGCATGTATGGTTTCCGATTGATCGCTCTTTCATAGTAATAACTATCAAGCTGATTCTGCAGGACGAATGTCAAATGACAAGTGAAAAAAGATAGTTTAGCATGTATGGTTTCCGATTGATCGCTCTTTCATAGTAATAACTATCAAGCTGATTCTGCAGGACGAATGTCAAATGACAAGTGAAAAAAGATAGTTTAGCGTGTATGGTTTCCAATTGATAGCTCTTTCGTAGTAATAACTTGTGTTCTCTTTCTAATTTTCTTCCTTCGGGGAGCCATAAATTTCAGATGTGCAAACTAAAACATTTAAATCATGCCAATCACTATGCTTTGATTGGGAAAATAAGCTGGTTTAAGTTAGAGATCCTTAAAAAAGACCAGACCGGATATGTCATTCTTCTGGCATGAGCTGCCAATAATCATCTAGTGCTGCAGAAATACCAAAAAAGTCCTGGGCGGCGAAGAGAGAAAGCCTATGCTTTTCCCAGTTGCGAAGGTTGCCAGTGTTGAATTTGAACTAGTGGAGGAAATAAGAAATAGAGCTACATACATGCACCACCTACAGTGGAATAGCTACGCAGCTTGCTCAAGGGAATGAACAAGAATGCCACACATATATCTAAGAAAATACGAATAGCAACTATGACGATTTCAAATCTGCAACAGTGTTTATCGAGTACTCAGGGATTTTTCCTTGGGGGGAAAAACCCTGCTCAAGGCAGCAGAATAAATCAACAAGATACCCCCATCTCAATTGTCTTCTCTATTTGATGCTTGTAAAATCTGTCTTATGAAAAGGATACAAAGGATCCGCATTAAAGCAATATTGAGCATCATAAAGATTGAGATATAGCTCATGCCTGTATACGGATCTCTGCATAGTGCACAGCTTCTACAATTCTTGCACATGCTCAAACAAATAAATGAGGGACATCTAGAGGCACCATAGGCCTTTCAACTCACACTGTGGGCGTATCAGGTCCGCCTTTCCTGATTAATGACTATAGTCTTTAAAGATATAATTACTATTCCCAACAACTGCAAGGTATCCCTTCCTGATCAGTCTTTTGTGCTTTGCTTAATTCAACTACCAACATGAAGTACTAGAAGTAAGTTCAAAGAGGTTTTGCTAAACACAAAAAGAGATTGTGTCAGCAGCATAACCATTATCACTCAGTTGGAGTTACCGTGTATTTACAGTCCCAATCTACCATTCTTAACAAAACATGCTTGAAGAAATCTCAGCTTTCCATAGATAGTGTAGCGCAGTAGAGAAGTTACAGAGTGGAGAAGTCTGCTTCCGAAATTTGCAAAGCGCACTAAGCACATTTCTTCCTGGATATCTGAATTGAGCTCATGCAGGTGACTCCAAGAAATCTATCGTACATTTTCGACATTGCCCTTGCCTGTTCCCACGTTATCATCTGTGCCATGTGAAAATTGTTCGCAAACAAAAGAGACCATTGATGCTAGTTTCTGAAATGTGAGTCTTTCAGTCAGTCAATGTCACTCTCGCTGTCAGAGATGTATCTCCGAGTGTCAAAGGCCTGGTACTTGGGAGTTGAATAGTCCATGCCATTGTTGTTTGCTTCACTCATAGGTGCAAATGCTGCAAATTGTCCACCAGAAAATAAAAGATCAGAACATAGAAAGTGCAGTAAGTCAACTAGCTCACTAGATTCGATCCCTTAGTGTTCGTACATAAATCTGTCCTGAACATGGAGGCTTCTTCCCATGTAATGAAGAGAGTGCCGGTAATAAATAGAAATGGCAAACAAACAACAAACCCCTGTATTACTCAAGCAGAGCAGGGAGTTGATACAAAAGAAGCCGATACTAATCGGTAGATACTCAAAACAATGGCCACCACACCACTTGAGGAAAAAACTAGGAAATTACAATATACAAGGAGATAGTGGTTAGGGAACATGTCCAAAAAAATTTCCCCTCCCAGCAGCCCAAGTCAACTAAAAAGAAGTGAAAAGAAGAAAGGGTATGAGAAAAAAAGAGGGTGAGAAGTTAGAAAAAATAAATGAAAAGAACCACCAAACTAGCCTAAAATTTAACAAAAAATATATATTGTTGTCAACTTGTACTAACAGGAGATAATTGAAACCAAATAGAAGGGAGAAGGAATACTCGTATTCCCTGCCAGCAGGTAGATTCAGAATTGATGTCTACATAGTTTCCACTAAAAAACTAAATAGTACAATAACAGGATTAAGTACGTCAATTGAATATAAGAACAAACATGCAAATAGAGGCTATGCTCCATGTGAGCTCTCTCACTAAATGAATATTTTCAACTTTTTTCATGTTAGATGTTCCAACTTCTTTGACGTCTAGGCCAAAGGTTAGAAGCAAACAAGTTAAAACAAATATAGTGTATCCAGAGAAGAATGCTGGACTAACCTTTTTCTCTCATTCTTCTCTCTCTGTCATACTCAAATTTATCACGGACTAGGCTAACCTTTTCCCAGTTATCATCTTGCCTATTTCTCCCCGTACCTCCTTGTTCCTGCAATTAAATGAAAGTGCAGTGGAAGTGCAATTATCGAGCAAAGGCACAAATTATGCATGAGCTAACACTTTAAAAAGAAAAAAGAAACAACACGAAAAATGAAGAAAATTGAAATATGAGAAGAAAAAGTAAAGGAGCGCAGCCATGCGGCTCAAAAAAATTACCTAGCAACTTAGCTATTTTAGAATCTAAACACATCACTCCAAAAATAAAGAACACAACATGCTAGTGTACAAGAATAAGGTCTAGGAAATCTGAATGAAAGAAAGATCATTTTTTAGCTATTCCACTGTTTGATGTAGGGAAAAAATCAACTGAAAACAAACTAACACAAGCCAAAGCATAAATGCATAAGGAGCTTAGCCACCTTCATATCATACAATAATACTTATAATACGACGTCAGTTTGCAGATCACTACTATTCAAGGATAAAATGTTTTTCATGTGGCAATTGGACAATATGAAAGGAAGTTTAAGAACTTAATCCAGATAGTTATGTGAATGGCGATCATCCACAAAAGTATTATTTCCAATGACTTAAAGTTCCAAATACTAGCATTGTTCAGCTCTTAAGCATGATGGGCTGAGATATCAGCTTAAAGTACAATGATAAGGGAACAAGGAATAGGCAATTTCTAAAGCATGGAAAAGGGGCCGTTTCAATATCTATAACATAATCAGGGGGACACGAATTATTTCAAAGGTGTTTCCTTGGGATATTTGTGTGCATGTATGTGTATTTATTTACTACTCCCTCGGGGTAGGGGTAAGGTCTGCGTACACACTACCCTCTCCAGACCCCACTAGTGGGATTTTACTGGGTCGTTATTGTTGTTGTTGTTGTTGTCTGTGTATTTATTTAGTGTGTCTACTTGGTTAGTGTTTGAGAAGAAAGGAATTAACATCAAACATATAGATGCTATAAAATAAAGGCACATATGAGCAGTCACAGCTAGATGAGATATAGAGGAGTTCCCAATAACTATTACTTTACACCAAAAATCTAACTTGAGTCTGGACTTGTTTACCCTAACTATAGATGAGCTAATCAATAATATGCAGGATGAGGATCCATGTTGCATGCTCGATGAAACTAGCACAAGTTAGAACTATGTTGAATTACTTTAGAGAATAAGGATTTTAGAAAAGTATAAGAACAAATATATGCACTACGAATTTAGCCTTTATAAGAAGAATGAAAGTGGAGTAAAATTAAATGAGATTGTAGAGCCTAATACAAACAATTCATATAGCTAGCTAAATTCCGTCTTCAAGAGAATAGGAAAATGGGAAAATACATAAGTTGCCCCCCCTAAAGTAGTCCAGAAAAGTCATTTACACACTCAAACTTGATGGGCGACCTCTTACCTCCTCCCCCCTATTTTTGTTCCAACTGAATTTAATTCCCCCTTAAATGCTGATGTGGCAGAAAAAGTAGTGTTCACCCATGTGAGAGAAACTAGCCTGAGATGGTTTGATTGTGTCCGACGTAAACTTTCAGATGCACCGATTCATAAGCGTGACTATATGATGATTGAAAAAAAGGGATGAAATAAATTAAAATGCACATGGAGGTTGTCTTCAAAAATGTAAATATACAAAGGAAGCAATGGATGAATATATGTGATACTAACTAGTTAGGATTAAACTAAATGTCCGTCTAAGGATAAGTGTAAGATTTAGGGAACTTTATTTAGTATTGGCATGAAATAAACCAAATAAAGCGAAAAGAGTATAGAAGATTCATGTAGCCTAGCCCTAGTGATGGTGGCTAGTACAAAGAAAGTGGTTTGGAACCTAATCATCCTGATAGCCATCATCGAGAGAGGGCAAATGAGCTAATATCATACATTACGAGGACAACAAGGGTTTATCAGTGGTGACCGATTAAAAGTATAAGTATGGGATGGTAGGGAGGTGGTGCTCGACTTTGGGCAGTGGACTAAGTTGGCAATAATTGGACAAATGTATAGTGGTTCCAACTGAGAGCCTACATGGATGTAGGGAAAGCCTGGAGCATCAGCAGGGTTAAGTTTTTAACAACCTCGATGTACAAAAATTGGTCTATTTATATGTAAGTAAATTTAACCTTACAATCATTTTCATGTTTCAAGAAACCTAGACACTACAAAACTTGTAGCTCCCATCTAGATGGATCACTTGTGTACAGTTCATCTCCACTAACAGAAACAGATATAATCATGTCATGAATATAAGCATGTGAAGAGGAGAAGCACAGATGCCCCAGGGAGGAGGCGTGAGAGATGGGGCTTTGTGGGTCTGAAAAAAGGTAGAGATAGGCCAAAGAAGTACAGGGGAGAGGTGATTAGGCAAGATTTGGCGTTGCTTCAACTTACTAAGGACATGACCCTTGATAGGAACGTGTGGAGGTCGAGAATTAGGGTAAAAGGCTAGTAGAAAGTCAAGAGTGTTTCTTCCCCATACCAGTAGTATTAGTAGTTAGTCTTGTATTCTATTATTGTTAGATCTCTATTACTACATGTTGTTCCTTTCGCTTTGTTTTCTTTATTATCTTGTTGTTGTTACTGGTTGTTGCTACTGCTTTCTTTTCATCTTTCCTTGAGTCAGGGATCTATCGGAAACATCCTCTCTACCCTCAAGGTAGGGGGGTAAGGTCTGCGTACACACTACCCTCCCTAAACACCACTTGTGGGATTATACTGGGTTTGTTGTTGTTGTTGTAATATGAGCATCCTCTCAACAGTATAGAGACGTGCGTTTTAGGAGCATGCATCTTTGTGTTTGCAGAAGATTAATTTCAGCCGTAACTCACGGGCATCTTCAACTATCAGTGATAGGTGACCCAACATATGAGAACAATCGTTTGGTTAAGAATTTCCAATCTCAATGGACATAAATAGAACAAAAAAAAAAACAAATCATCAGTCATTTAAGACTCTGAAAATCTAATGTTTAGCATGAACTTAGAAGTTAGAACAAGGATTGTAACTTCAACAAAATATTTTGGACATCTCTGTTAGGAGCACTATCAATGGGGCTTAAATCTCGAAGCTTGCAGCAAGTTGTAACAAACTGGAATCCGTCAAAAGAGCACCATATGTTTATCTTTCCAAGGTAGGGAGAAAAGCAGAAAGGCACAAAATGAGAAGACAAGCTATTAGAAAAGCTGTACAGTGTTGAAATGCAGTAGAGGATTTTTCTAGTTACCTTCATGTGGGCAGCATTAGGTTTACTTCTCCTGAAAGAAGAAATATAGAGCAATTTAGATACGCAAAACAGCTCAATATGCCACACTGCTTTACAACATTAAATTAGATTAAATGACAGACTTAAGAAGGGAAAAATAGCTGAAAATTGTAGTGTTTACAGTATTTACTCATCACCGTGAACCAGTTAATGTCCTCCCAAATTCCAAAACTAATATTAACATTTTTTTTTTATCGGTCAAAACTAATACTAACATTGTGTATAGGATAAAGGAATGCAAAGAGGAGGAAATAAACCAACCTGTATGGAGAGAAATCTTCATCATCATCCTCAGCAGAATCATAGTTTGCATGATCTTGAGCAAGCTTTTTGGAATAACCCTCATCCCAATATAGCCTCTCCCAGTTCTCTCTCATCTCGTTATACAATTCCATATATCTTTTGCACCATGGTTCATGCTCCTTCAATTAACAAACTTATTCAAAATCAAAATGAACAATAGAAGTAACCCGAAAATTTGAAAAGAAAAAAAGGGACAAGACCTGCAAACATCAGAATTTCTAACAAATTTTCAGGGGACACTGGCTAATATCCAAGCCAAACAATGTTCATAAAATAAAGAATAAGGAAAGAGGATAGTCGCAGCAGTCCGATGAAGCAGTACTTCAGTATAGTATGTGCCCATAAGAAAATCAGTATGCTATGACAGGAGTAATAATTTACATTAACAATTCCATTAAGGGTTTGTGACATGACATAGAAAGACTATTCACTTTAATATGAGCCAAGAAAAGGAACTTTAAAAAGAAAAACAAAATCTTTCTTTGAGACATTACGATAGTGGGGCAGTAAAATCTGTAACGATCCTCTCTTAATTAATATATTGGCCTACATTTTCCCTAGGAAGACCTGCAAGTGCAAGAACGTGAAATGATCTAGGAGGCTCAAGTTAGCATTGACACTTTAGGGTTACTCTAGAGGAGCATGTTAGCTTAAAAATGGACTAGCAGAAAACATAAAGAGCAGATATGTTCCTGAGAAGCAATTCTCAAATTAAACTCTAGCAAAAAGTAGAGGGAAGTTGATAGACGAACTAACAGATTCTTTGAGAACGAGGCGAGTGCGGCGCATGAACTGGTCGCGAAGTTGCTTACGACGCTTATTGGGGATATTCTCTCTTGGTATTACGAATCGCTCTCTGGGTGGTACATTTTCACCAATTTCGTGCATCTCGCCGTCGACCACCCACCATTCCGACTTCTCGTCGACTTTCTTCAACATTGCTGACGGCGAAAACTTGGAGCGCCGCCGCCGCGGTGAGGATGAAGCGCCGTCGGCATGAGCAGAACGGAGTTGAAGCCCAATGAATTGGAGGCAAGGATGGGATCTTTGAACTCGTCTAGCTATTGAAAGCATGATAGACAGTGGAGTCAGATGATTGTTGCGCTACTCCTAATTTGCGATTTCTATATCGCACACTGGACAAAGTTTAAAGTTTTTTCCTCTCTTCCTCGCCGTCCCAATTTCTGAAGTGTTCCGAAGAAAAATAAGGAAAGATGGATCAATTTGGTAGACGAAAATATGTTATGAAAAATATGATTTTTGAAAACCATAAATATTCTAAAAAATATTATTCAAAATGTTTATTGGCGAATGAAAAGTCCCTTTTAAAATTTTCATATTAACAAATCAAATGTAGGTGTTTTGATGAAATCTTTTTTGTATTATAGATTGATAATAAGTAATTTGAACAGTGATACGAATTAAGAACTGATACAAATGCGAAGGCAAATAAGTTTTGTTTAAGAGAACTCATTTGCCTTTTGTTTTTCTTGAAAAAAAAATCCTTTTTTGCACACAATGAATATTCTGTACGTTTTACACATTGAATTGACCCCATTATATGCCTCAAATTTTTAAAAACAAACTAACTACTTTTCACCTATATGATTATAACTTATGCCATGCATAGTCTTGTATTTAATAATTTGGTACTACATATTTAATACTTACAATATCTTTTAATTACTATAATGCTACATATATTTAGAGCTCGTCGGCCAAGCTATCAATAGTTATTTTTCCTTTTTTTCGTCGAGATTGGGTTGGTGTTCAGCGTACCGCTTGTGACGCCTATGCTTTGCAAGCCTACATAGGGTACAAGATCGAAAAGAATGCATTGAATGAATGTCTGGGCATTGAGAAGGAAGGACGCTTTCAGAGGCGAAAAAGTATTTTTGTTCAAAAGTATTTTTCCAAAAATTATTTTTGGAGATTAGTAGTTTGCGTTTGACCAATTTATTTGAGAAGTGTTTTTTGTAATATTTGATAAGTAAATTATGTTTGGCCAATTTTTTCAAAAATTTCTTTTGAGTGTCAAATTTAGAAAAATGACATTAAAAGTTTAGTTTACAATTAATATTATTTAACAACAACAATAACATACCGAGTAATATACCACACTGTGGGGTCCGGGGAGGATAGTGTGTATGCAGACCTTACCCCTACCTTGTGAGGATAGAGAGGTTGTTTTCAATAGACCATCGGCTTAGGAAAGTATAAGCACCACATTAATGAAAATATAGACAAGAAGGGACAGTACCAAGAACCCATATAAAAGCATAATAAAATAACTAGATAGTAAAGTGATCAACAATGAAAGAAAACAACGGTTAATCATAAAAACCTACTACCAATAGAAAGCGAGAATACGTGCGAATACTTCTGTTATGCACACTCTAGACTACCTACTCTACTACCATAATCTTCGACCTCCATACCTTCCTATCAGGGGTCATGTCCTCGGTCAGCTAAAGTTGAGCCATGTCTTGCCTAATCACCTCTCCCCAACTCTTCTTTGGGATACATCTACCTCTCTGTAGGCCCTACAATGTCAACCTCTCACACCTCATCACCGGGGCGTCTGTGCTCCTCCTCCTCACATGACCAAACCACCTAAGTCGCGCTTCCCGCATCTTGTCCTCAATAGGGGCCACACCCGCCTTGTCGCGAATAACCTCATTTCTGATCCTATCTAACCTAGTGTGCCCGCACATCCATCTCAACATCCTCATCTCTGCTACCTTCATCTTTTGGACATGAGCAATATTGACTAGCCAACACTCAGCCACATACAACATCGTTGGTCTGACTACCACTATGTAGAACTTACCCTTAAGTTTCGGTGGCACCTTCTTGTCACACAAAACACCGAAAGCGAGTCTCCATATCATTCATTCCGCCCTAATACGATGTGTGACATCTTCATCAATCTCCCCATCCCCCTAAATAATAGACCCAAGGTACTTAAAACTCCTTCTCCTAGGGATGACCTGCGAGTCCAGCCTCACCTCCCCTTCCCCTCCTTGAGTCTTGCCACTAAACTTACACTCCAGGTATTCTGTCTTGGTCCTGCTCAACTTGAAACCTTTAGATTACAATGTCTGCCTCTATACCTCTAATTGCGCATTTACACCATCTCGTGTCTCGTCAATCAATATAATATCATCTGCAAATAGCATGTACCACGGCACTTCCCCTTGGATGTGGCGCGTCAGTACATCCATCCCCAGAACAAACAAAAAAGGGTTGAGTGTCGACCCCTGATGCAACCCTATCATCACCGAAAAATGGTCTGAGTCCCCATCCGTCGTCCTCATTCGGGTCTTTGCTCTATCATATATGTCCTTAATCAACCTAACGTAGTCAACAGGTACACCTTTAGCCTCCAAACATCTTCACAAAAACCTCCCTCACAACTTTTTCGTACGTATTTTCCAAGTCGATGAACACTATATGCAAGTTCCTTCTTTCTCTCCCTATACTGCTCCATCAATATCCTAACAAGGTGGATGGCTTCTGTAGTCGAACGCCCCGGCATAAACCCAAACTGGTTCTCAGAAATAGACACACTTCTCCTCAACCTTAGCTCTACCACTATCTCCCACACTTTCATAGTATGGCTAAGCAGCTTGATACCCCGATAGTTATTACAATTTTGGATATCACCCATGTTCTTGTATACAGGAACCATCGTGCTCCACCTCCATTATAAATTAATATTATTTAAAAAAGAAATTTTAAAAATATGTACTATAAATGAATTTAATTAATTTTTATTTTTGTTTTTATTTTATTAAAGTGTAAAATATAAAGTAATATATGTTAAAACATTTAGCCAATATAAAATTATAGGTATACAAAGGCAATAATATTAGTATAGACATATGTCCTTACAAGTTACATATATGAAAAGCATTATCTATTCTTGAGGAAAAAACAGCCTAAGTAAGCATTATGTCCACTATATTATATGCATGCACGCTAAAAAAATTATAAATAAAACTATAAACTGGAAATCATATTATATTAGTATATAACAAAAGAAAAAAAATCATACCTTATGAAAAATTGCTTGATCTGGTAATTAGCCATGTTATTCCAAAGAGTAATACTAGACTAAGAAAAGAAGAAAAAACGTAAGAGAAAAAAAGATATCTATTTATAGTAGAGAAATTATTCCAAAGAGGAATAAGAGAAGAAGAATAAAAAGGGAAAATTACCCAAACTGTCACTCTATAAACTTTCCCAACCAAAAATAGCCCAAAACAAAATATTTGCTAAAAAATGCCCAAATGTCATCTTGGGCCCAAATAGTTTCAATTAATATTAGTTTTTTTGTATCCGTTATTTTTGTAATACAGACATCGTTCTCTTCTCTAAGTTTTCACTCCCTCTCTCTCTCACACACACTCTCTCTCTCTCTCTTTATATGCGATTTTTTCCTAAATTGAACCAAAATTGCCGAAATTGACGACAAAACACGATACATTTGCAGTTATTTTCGTCTGATTCCGGGCAATTTGGAGTAGAAAATCTCTTATTTTGTATATTTTTTCGGACTGCATGTATTTTTAAAGAAGCGATGTTGCTTTTTTTTTAGGCTTTTGCTACTGAATTGTTTAGTTAGAGTTCATCGCAGGTATCTGTTATAGATGATTTTGTTAGTTTTGGTTGAGTTTTGTATAACTTCTTCACAAATTTTTGTAACCTTTTGTTCGTATAATTTTTTTTTATATTTTCTCATTGAACATAGTTTTAATTTTGAAAGAGAGCAATATGACAAGACAAACTCGTTCGATGAGTTCATCACCTTATTCAAAGTCGGTTTCAATTGAGAAATCGAGCAACATGAGAAGAGAAACTAGATCGATGAGTTTATCTCCTCATTCAACCCCGGTCTTAGTTGAGAAATCGATTGATGAACGAAATATGGACCATTCTCTGCTTACCCTTGTCAAGTACTGAATATAAGTAACTCGTCGAAGGGGTCACCTACAAAATTTATCAACTACCATTAGTGGTGACAAAGCATATGCCCTCAAAACACATATACTGGAGAGCCTACAAGATTCAAAATAGCTTAGTATCATGTCAAACTAACCAATATTTCAGTAGTGGGGTAGGCATAGATGCTACATTAAATTGAAAGCCTTATATACATGCTGGTGGTCGCCTAAAAGTTGAACAATTTGCTTACATAATGACTAATTTATTGCATGCCCCAGAAGAAACAGAGAATAAAGGTAAACCAAAAGAAACAGAAAACCTGACGTCTCGGATAACAGAGATAAGACCCTCAATTACTTGAACACTATAATATTGCCTTTGTGCAAACAATGATTAATAGAAAACGTTAGCTTTAGTCAATTTGGTTTCCATGTGCCGTGCAGGTGGACACTAGTTTAACAAAATCACATAAAGGATTTAAGATATAACAGATCCGTGAATTCGACACGATTACATATTATATGCACAAGTATCTACAGATTCTAGTCATACTTTCATCCGATGTGACAATTCGAGATTGTCCATCAGCATTGTATCATATTTTTTTCCAAGATCAGTAAATGACTCTATTACATTCTTTTGATTTGTAACGTTCCATCGTCCGATCAATTGCCTTATGTACTCCAACAAAGGCAGTACTGGGAGTTCCCTAGCAGCCTTGAGCGCTGCATTGATCGACTCCGCAATGTTTGAGATCATTGTCAATGTTCTGTTGATAGTGGAATGTGCTCTGGAGCATATTTCATACCCAACATTGATTAAGTAATCTTTGACCCTCTTATCAATTCTCTCTACCTCTGCCATGTGGTAATCAAACCTCTCAACTGTGTATGCTTTGGCCATAGCAAAGAATATGTCTTTGAGCTGCAAATGGTTCTTTTATAATTTTTTTTACATTATTCCATAGATGATTCCATAGATGCCATATGCAGACACAGTGAGATACTTGTGGATACAATGTTGCCGTTGCATTTTCAATGCCTTCATGCCTGTCCTAGACTATGCACATTCCATTCCTTTCCCCAAATGCATCCTTGAACCTCGCGAAAAATCACTCCCAGGAAGCATTATTCTCTTAATCTACTATGGCATATGCGAGTGATAGGATACTACCTAATAAATTTAATCATATAAACATATTTGAGTATATACATAAATAATATATATATATATATATATATAATATATATATATATATATATATATATATATATATATATATATATATATATA